ATTATTCGTGGACGGTCCATATATTTGGGATTACACAGAAATAGTCAATAGTTAGGATTATTGTAAATGCATCGGTAATAATTGGGATTATTATTTTCAATTCTTCCATTTATTTATAATTTTGCTCATTTCTCTCTATTTTGCAAAACCTTTAATTATACAATTTTACTTTTTTATTTCCCACCTAATTCAAAATTGAAAAAGATCAATTGCATGGAGATAATATTTGTACACAATGAATACTTTAATTTTACAACTCATTTTTATACGTTATCCCTTTTCTTCCAACTTCTCCTTCTCCACTCTCTTTTTCTATTGTTCTCTTTTTCCCCTGTCACTCTTCCAAACTTTTCACTTCTTTTCTTCGATCTTCATCTTTTTCACCGGCCCCGATCCAAGTGCAGTTGGTACAAGGGTCTCCAAGTTTCATCAAGTTAAGTAAAAACAACTAAGGGGTGTTTGGATATGCTTTTTAAAATTGATTCTACTCTTTCATGGAGCAGAATCAGATATTGGAGTGTTTGGATGAAAATGTAGAAGTACTTCTAGGTGTTACAAATTACTCCTAAAAGCAGTTTTTAGAAGTCGGGGGAGACCTGCCTCTGGAACTTGATTTTGATTCTGATTTTGCTTCAGCTTTTAAAAAAGAAGCATAAGCAGAATCAATTCCAAACACCCATTAGACTTTTGCTTGGTTATCATTGTGAGATCTAACTTTTCAAAAATTAGAAATTTCGAATAACTCATCCTCAGAACATGTGGGAACAGTTCACGAAGAGTTCAATTCTTCTAGGGAATCTAAAAACTAAAAGATGATAATAAGAACGGTCATAAGTTTTTACTAAATAATTAGTTACTTTTCATTCGGAATTAAGAGAATACTTCTCACCTTCATAAAGTTTCTAGTTTCTTCTTCTCATTCTTCAATATAGATCTAGTTAACTAAAATGGAAATGCATTTTGGTTTCTTTCCTTAAGGTTTCATCAATTTTTGTAGGCTTCATCAAATTTGACCCTTAAATTCTCAACAAATATCATCAAAAGTGCAACACAACTTACTGAAATTCAAATGATAATGTAGTCATGCTTTGTCAAAAATATTCAAGATTCAATTGCTTCAATATCGACTGAGTACAAGGGCCCTAACGATTTAGCCAATGCGAGATAAACTATAGGTCCGAGCTTCTTCACCTGACAGAACTTTCTCTTTGGGAGAGATTTAGTCTTGAAAGGCTTCACATGGAGGGTTGGCAATGGAGCCACAATCAACACGAGTATGCTTCTTTCTTTGTTGTCAATCCTTAAATTATTGTTACATTTCATTTTTTGATGAATGATGCACACACGAAGTGAGGTGTGGATGTGGTCTAGAGTTTCTTTGATGAGGAAATTGTAAATTATATTTTGTAGCTCCCCATTAGTTAGCAAGGTGGAGATGATAAAAGGCCATACATACACTCAAACCAACCTACTTTTTAGCTCGATCTAATTTTTTCTTAATTTTGAGAAGTGTAAATGGTCACGACTTACCGTCTAATGTTTTGGCTGAGGAGAAAAGTTGGAAAGTATTATTGAAGACCAAGGCCCCAAATAAAATGAATGTTGTTTTGTGATGGTTTCCACATGATTGCTTACCTACACGATTTCATCTATCATGAGTCATACTCCAGTGCTTGGTGATAGTTGCATCTTCTACAACACAATTGAATGTATGGAACATTCCTTTTATCTTTTATGATGCGCCCCTTTGCGAATTCAATTTGACTGCCTCTGAAGGAACACATCCACCCACGTTGTTCAGGAATGTTTTGAGTAATGTCCGATAGTGGCTATTCGATTTCCAAGTTAGGGAATTTGCTCTTCACACCACTATATTGCTACTACATATTTGACACATTGGGGGACCTCAGAATGATGTGTGGGATAGCAATTGTGTTATGCATCCTGAAAGGGTGGCTGAGAAAGTGAGGGGTTATGTGGAAGTTATAGTGCAACATTGCCTTAATTCGACAAATGCCTCAAGGTGTGATTCTATCTCTTCAGCACCTAGATGGGTTCCCATGTCAGCTGGTTTCGTTTGAGTCAACGTTGATGTTTATGTGTTTCCGAATTCTCACGAGATGGGAGCAGGTGTGGTGATTCGTGATAACAAGGGCCATTGTTTGTTGGCCCATCGCAACGAACTGATTGAGGAGGTCATTACAGCAAAACTTGCTCAACCATTGGCCATTAGGCATGTGCTAGCTCTCTCCCAAGAGGAAGGTTACTTGAAGATCATTTTGGGGTCCTCTTGTTTATCCATGATTAAACACATTGAGTCTATTAAGATATTGGACCAATAGAATAGTTGGGTCAGCCCAATACCATAGGAAGGCACCTCGGTGCACTTCCTAATGCCAAGAGAGAAGACCAGACGGTCCACATAACTTGGGCGAGTAAAAAGATGGATGATCGAGCCCACTAAGGTCGAGCCTCGATGGGCAGGTACAGGAGCAGAGGAAAAGGGGGAACGTCCCCATGATCGGGTAGATGACATGCACAAGGCTTAGGTCGGACATTAGACGCACTCGACACTAGAGTGAACGCTCAACGTTCAGTACGTGACAAGTAGTCCCCTTTCTTGCGTCGATACCTCATAAGTCTAGTCAACTCGTGTTGGAATTGAAAAGAACACCTATGTATTGACAAGACCGCATTAAATGAGAGACATGGGCCGAGCAAGTGGACAAAGCAAGTGTGGGCAGTAGCAAATTGTACAATGGGATGGCTCAACCAATGGAAAATCGACACGTCATAAGCTTATACCATCTGAGTAGTACAAATAGACTCATTTACTATGGGTTGGGACTTGGGGTAGCTAAAATAACAATGAATAGCATTGACTCTCTCCTCTCTTAAACTAGTATTGTATCGATCAGTATAGCACTTTAGCCCGAATTCATTATAACAAGGACCATATACATCTTGATCTTGTGTTACATATAATATTTCCATATCTGCTACATATTCCAAACATGAAACACCCAAATCAACCACCCACCAAAAATACTATGTTGGATTTTCTGACCAAGGGAATAAACCTCCATAGAGTCAATTGTACAAGAACATTCTCTCTAATGGGCTCGGTGGTTGTTGATATTAAATTGATTGCAAATGGTTTTGATTGTAGTTCTTTTAAGCATGTAGATCATTTAGTAAATGTAGCAGTACATAACCCTGCTGATGTTAAGTTGTATGTTGCATGGTGTAATCCCGGAGTGTATCCAGGGTGGACTATATATGCAGTGTAGTGTGTATCGATGCTCCTTAATCAATGACATCGTTACTCTGAAAAACATTTTCAATAAGCCAACTTTTTGGCCGTTTGGAGTCTTTGTACTCGATGAGCTGATTGAAGAAGTCATTCACCAAATCAGAAAGAAAAATTTAGGCGACATCCAGAGAATTGTAGTGAGGAAATAGGAGATCTAGAGAACTCTTATACGAAGCATTATTCATATAATTTGCAATATTTTTGAAAACATGATGGAAAAAACTCACTCCTAGAGACAGAAGAGTCTAGATAGCTCTAGAGATCAGTTACATGAGTTACAAAATAAATTAGAATATTTGTATTAAATATTTCAGTTACAAATCTTTGTATTTAATATTATAATTACTAGCCTAGCTCTAAAATGTTGTATAAATAGGATATCATTTCATGGAAGAATCAAGCTTTTCAGTCTCAATTCCTCCTTATTCTAAACTTTATGAGGGTATCAGAGCCTCTAGAGGCCTAAACGGCCTATTCCCTTCACTGAACTATCCCCCCCGCATCACCTTTCTCTGCCCATGGCTCATGAAAATAATAGAGACAAAAGTCCAAAAGATGTGAATGATAACTCAACATCATCTCTCTCAGCCAATAATCCCCTAACCCCGGATGGCCTTGATATGCTCAGCCCTAACCAATTCCCAGAAAAACCAGATGGATCAAATTACCTTGTATGGAGAGACCAAGTAATGGACCTTCTGTTCGGGTCTCATCTAGATCAGTATATTGATGAAAAAATCAGTCCTCCTCCAGAAACTGAAGCTGCCAACTTTCTGTGATGGAAGAGACAGGACCGTCTGGTGCGGCACGCTCTTGTATCTTCTCTCAGTTCCGCCTGCAAACCGCTGGTTGGGTCTGCGAAGACCTCCGCCTCCGTCTGGAAAACACTGGAACGCCTATACGGGACCCGATCAGCTTCCAAAATCCGAAGTCTTAAAGACCAGTTCCGCCATGCTAAACAGGGGTCGCAACCTGTAGCAGAATATCTTCACCACCTTCGCACCCTCGCGGATGAACTAGCCATGGCCGGCCGACCTGTAGACGATGAAGACTTTGCCATTCAAGCTCTGGAGGGTCTTCGTCCCGAGTTTGAATCCGTGGAGAACTCCATCCGCCCAGATGAAACTAACTTTGAAGAACTCCACTCCTTACTGGTCAGATTCGAAGACAAGTTGCGAAGGAGGGAGCTCTTGAATTCTGCGGTTGTTGTTACTGCGAACGCAGCTACGGTAGAAAGAAAAGAGGAAGAAGATAGTTCGGTCGCAATGACCGTTCGCAGAAGTCTAGACCAGAACGCGTCTATATTAGGCCCAGGTCCATCAGCCCAGTTTCAGACTCTACCCAATAGGCCCAATACTCAGAATAAATTTTTCAAAAATCAAAATCGAGGCCCACGTCCCAGCAACTTCTACAATTCAAATAGACGTGGAAATAATAATCCCGGGGGCAGGCGTACTAATTTTGGGGGAAATACCAGTCCGGGTGCCGTTATATGTCAGATTTGTAGCAAACCGAACCATCTCGCTATAAACTGTTGGCACAGGTTTGAACAACAAAATTATCCCCCCCAGGCCAATACTGCCACGACCAGGAGAATCGGATGGTTGCTGGACTCGGGAGCAAATAATCATGTCACCGATAATTTAAACAATCTTACCCTGGCTTCCGATTACACCGGCACAGACTCCCTCATTATTGGTAACGGTAAAAGTCTTGAAATTGCACAAGTTGGGAATATGACCCTTCATTCTCTCTCCTTACCTAATACTCTTTTTGTTCCTTCTATTCATACTAATTTAATTTCAGTTGCCAAATTATGTCGTGACAATGATGTACTAATCGAGTTTCACCCTTCTTTTTGTCTTGTCAAGGACCGGAAAACGGGAGCAATTTTGTTACGGGGTATGAATAAAGGTGACGTCTACAGCTTGTCTGATGTTCATGTTCCTTCATCACCATGTGTCAATGTTACTACAAAATTTTCTCTAAATAAATGGCATTGTCGTTTAGGACATCCTGCCCTTCCCATCACTCAAAAAGTTATTTCCTCATTAGGTATTTCCTTTAAAGATGTTAATAAGGATTTGTCCTTATGCACTTCATGCGCAAGTAATAAAAGTCACAAGTTACCTTTTGCTAAATCTTCCCTTTCAAGTTCAGGTCCACTTGATTTAATTTATACAGATGTTTGGGGTCCCTCACACATTAATTTTGTGGATGGTTTTCGTTATTATGTTATTTTTGTTGATCACTACACAAAATACATTTGGTTTTACACTATCACTCACAAGTCTGAGGTAACTTCAATTTTTCAACAATTTAAGAAGATCGTAGAAAACTTTTTTCAAAAATCTATTAAAATGGTTTATTCAGATGGAGGGGGTGAATACATATCCCTAGGGAAATTTCTGGCCTCTTGTGGTATTACTCACTTACTGACCCCTCCATATACCCCTGAGCATAACGGCTTCGCTGAACGCCGACATCGTCATATTGTAGAAACAGGGATCACTTTACTTCACCACTCTTCAATGCCGTTAAAATATTGGTCATACGCCTTTTTAACTGCTGTATATCTAATTAATAGGCAACCAACAGCATCTCTAGGTTTTTGTACTCCCTATGAAAAACTTTTTCAAAAACCTCCCAATTACACAAAACTTGCTATTTTCGGATGTCAATGTTTTCCATGGCTCCGTCCTTATGCAGCTCATAAGTTAGAACCACGGTTGTAGCAGTGGACGCTATCCAAAGAAAAGCAAATAAATAGACATATTTGGGACAACCGGCATGAATGAGAACCGGACCAATATATGGCCAATGTATTTTGTCTTGCAAACAATATAAACCAACACAGCGCTTCTTATAATACACAATGACTCAGAAAGCCCAGCAGTTAGATCACATACACAGCCACACGGGAGCAGAATGAATCCCAACTTAAAAGCAAGGAAAAAAGGAATTGAATTCAGGTGTGGGTAAGAATTGTGGATGACTTCTGCTAAGAGAGATACTGGCAAGACTTTCACAACATGAAAAGACCAACAAGAAAATCAGAATGCAATATCATATTAAACAGTAAAATAGGCTTCACAGTGTGTGTTTACTTCTTCAGAACGCTGCATATGGAAAATAGTTTACCAGTCAGTTAATAAGTGAATGTGTACTTAATATTAGAAAAATGCATGTTAGGGAATGAGTGCTGTCCACTGAGAACTCACTTATATAAGTAGGCAGCTATTCCAAGTATTATGCAGAGCAAAATGATGTCAACACAGAAGTTTCGACTAGAGCGTAGCTGGAAAACAACACAAACAACACAATCATGCAAGAGAAGACTAAAGAAGAGTATGGAACAATAGGACATCGAATACCAAGCAGTTCATTTACCTGGTTGACTGTATCCTTTAGCCTAACATTGGTATTCTTAAGGTCAGATGTGGCCTTGTCAACCTGTAAAGTCAAAATCATCGTAAGCCAAAATGTGTAGTATTACTACAGTTTTGTACTCAGATATGACAGATCTTTTAACCTTGGAGTCAATTTCATCCATGAGAGGGACTTGTCTGTCGAATTCCTACAAGTATTACAGTGATGTCAGGAGTTGGTATCTTTTAGTGATGGATGAAACAAAAATGGAAAACATATATGCCAGACCTCATTCATGTTGTGAGCCATGTCCTTCAAGGTATCCAAACCTTCAGATATAACTGAGAGACCTTGGTCCTGCACAAGGTGTCATGGTCAATAACATCACACATGTTTTAGATGAAATATGACATATCAAGAAAGTGTACGGCTTTTTCCCCCAATCAGAGGTAAAAAGAACGACTTCGTATTTAAAGAAACAAAAGCCTCATGCCTGTTTCATTTTCCGCATTTCATACTCTTGCCTGAATTGACTAGACTCTTCTGTTTGCTTGAAAAAATCAGCATCATACTGACCATCTATAATTCAAGAACACGTGTAAGTTATTTGAAAAATTGAATGTTGCCAGTGAACTCAAAAGCAGTGTAGTAAGTATAGTCCATCCCATGTGAAAACCAAGAACAAGTAATACACAAGAAAAACACAAAGCATTTGGAGCAATCAAGAGAGTGGCGTATGCTAATACTTACTTGAATCAAATCTAATTTCTGTGCGAGTGCCTGAAGTTCCCCACCCTCCAGACTGCTTAGGTGGAGCAGAAGAACCATCTGGGATGGCATTAATCCTATCAGGCAATGCAAGAACCAGATCATTACGGACAACAAGTTCTTCTCCTGAAAGACCTTTGACCTGCCAAAGGTGGTAATATCAAACAGAAATCAACCCAGTTCATTCAGACTAATACTGAGTAGTTTATATCACTGTGCCATCTCATCTTGAAGAGACCAGCAAAAACAGTAAAGTACTGACACAGCATGCATCAGTTACAGACTTACAGGGCACTTCTCTTTTTACTCGGGCAAGGATATTATTACAACAATAAGAATCGTATTTGACCAAAGTAAACCTTTTAAATTTAGGTAAGGTAAACCATCCATATATCATTAATCCTACTTATACATCTAAATTCATTTTTGGCCTAACTATATTCACTATCCAGGTAACTTGTCTGTCACTCTCTTTTGGCTGCATATAAAATTGGCTACCTTTGACCAAAAATGACTTTCAAAAGAGAAGAGTGTTGCAAGAGGTTTTCTTTTGGACAGTGAGAGTGTAAAAATCAAAGAGACAATGAAGACCCTGTTGACTATTTCACAAGTTGTATATAGCAAAAATACAACATTTGACACATCAATACATCATTACAGTTTTTTGTGGATTTTTTATGCCATGGTTCAAATCTGTCCTCCATCGGTGTCGCTTCTTACAATCTCACTCCTCCTATTGCATAAGAACCCAGCTAATCAAGTCCTATACTGAACAGAAGCATGTAATTGGATTAAAATTTTCAAGATTTTGTGTAGTAGATGAGTACATCCACGTTGAGTGGTTGAGGCATGTGACTTTGGATTTCAAAGCCTGAATATTTCTAAATTTCTACATTAACTTATGAGAAAAGACCTTTACACAAAATAAGCTTCCCTTCAATTTTTTCTAGACTAATAAATTAAGAAATTGAAACTGCTATAACTTACTTTAGCTATTTTCTGCAGCAAACATTTCTTATCAACATTTTCACATTTAGTGATCCAGATAATAATTGGGAAAACAAATCTCAGGGTGTCTGAAACTTAGCCATTTCTTACTGTCACTTATCCCGCTTCTACTTCATCAAGTAATTATATCTAGGGCTTACAATTGCAAATGTATTTATTAACCGATCTGTTCACATGTTCAGCCTGGTCCTTATAAGATAAGGTGAAGATAGCTGATCCATAAACAAAGATACAGAACCCATAAAAATAAGGGACACAATCAATTTTTATGCATAACAAGAAATTTCAATATCATTTCGTGAATAAATTAGCTGAATTAAAATCCATTTACCTTCTTCTTAGCCAAATTCTGCAACTTGGGCACCTTCTCCAGTAACATCGCCTTCGTTCTCCTGATTTCCGCATTAATCGCTACAACAGAAGCGCTTCTCTTCTCAGTCCCATCAGTCTCTGCTTTCTATAACCGCCAGAAGAAAATAAACCCAATTTCAATATCAAAAGAGTGAAACAGTAAGCCCTAAAATTCAAATAAAAAATGCACTGGAGTAGCAGCAACAGAGAGTTGAACCTGAAGAGCGGTTTCGATATCACTTTCAATTTCTGCATAGAGGCGAGAAAATGCGTCGTCGCCGGAGATATTAGAGTTCTTGTGCTTCTCGATGTCGTATTTTTCGTACTTCTTACAGATCGAGTCAACGCGGGTGAGAAGATCGATCACACTCATATTACCCAACCTCTAAAATCAAATCTATATCGCTCTCGATGATTGAATACGGAGATCAGGAAACGCGTGGATGAGCACAGCCGGAATTTTAACCACAGCGCCGGAATACGCCACACTGGAACTTCTCTTTTTTTTCAGTTGCTTCAAGTGTACTCCGTACAAATTTTCGATATAATTTTAGATAATTGTTTAGTGGTGCGTTGCACTGCATATGTTATACTCCCGTGTGTTATTTAAGTATGTCAAAGTTAGTTGGATACCGTTGGTATTACACTATTAGTCCCTCCGTCCGTTAAGTTTAACAAGTTTGACCGTCACGTAGAATAATAAAGTAAAAATTGTGTGGTAGATATTTGTGCAGAGGAGAGAGAAATAACAGGAGCCACAAATTGATTGATTAAAAAGGAAAGTGGCAAAGTTTTTGGGACAACCAAAAAAGGAAAGTTGGCAAAGTTATAAGAGACGGAGGGAGTACGTCTTAATAACAAAAACACTTATCAATTTTGTCATTAGATATAGGGAGAACTATCAAATAAGCTCTCGAACTTTCATAAAAAGTGCAAATAAGCCCTTTTACAGGATGCTTTGTTCGGCTGTCGCCATTTGGGGCGGTTTTCGGTGGAATTTTTTGATGAATTTTTTTGAACATCTTCTTCATTAAGTCTAGTTTATCCATACTAAATTTCAGCTAAAATTTCAATCGAGAAGGCAGTCAAATGATTTTCTGAAATATACTGTGCTGCCTAACTGCGCAGTTATATTCAAAAATTCATTCGACTGCCTTCCCGATTGAATGTTTAACTGAAATTTGGTATGAGTAAACTAGATTTAAAGAAGAAGATGATCAAACAATTTCATCAAAAAACTCCACCGGAAACCACCCCAAATGGGGACGACGGACAGAGCCTCCTATAAAAGGGCTTATTTGCACTTTTTATGAAAGTTCGAGGGCTTATTTGATAGTTCTCCCTTAGATATATAAGTATTAGGTTAAGTATTTGTGTTTATACTCCCTCCGTCCCTTAAAACTTTGTCAACTTTCCTTTTTTGGATGTCCCACTAACTTTGCCACTTTCCCTTTTAAGTAAAGAATTTGTGGTTCCAGTTAATTCTCTCTCCTCTGCACAAACCTCGACCACACAGTTTTTACTTTATTAATCCCCGTGCCGGTCAAATTTGGCAAAGTTTTAAGGGACGAAGGTAGTAGAATTTAGGTACAAATGATCTAAGCAATTGGGGAACGCTAAAATTATTGCTGATAAAACTTTTGTAAACATCCAATAACCAAACACATTATTGATAGTATAGCTTTAAAAATAAAAAATTTCACATTATCAAACATCCTATATTATATGTAAGGTGTACATTTTATTGATATCAGTAGAAAAAAGTGCCTCTTTAATAGTGTATACTTATCATTCATCATATCATTTCCCATAAAGATTGGAAAATAAACAAAATAATGACGCAATGAATCAATGTCGTATTCAAATGGTTTATTGTTACTTTCAAAATTCTGGAGAATCAATACCAAGTTATATAAATCAATGAACTTATAAAATCGTTATACTTCGTCTAACTAAAAATTGACAAGCAGTAGAAAATCAAAACTCCTCCTTCAAGTGTGCATTTGATGATTTTCTACTCAGTAAGGTAGAATTTAATAGCCTAATATGATAATATCTATTTAGGAATATGCATAATATCTATTTAGAACTACTTTGTGTTTTGGCAACTCTTCTATTATAAATATATCTGTCAGGGCTCCTATTGGAGTACCCTTTTCCATTATTTCACATGGTATCAAGAGCTTTAGGTTTTCAGATACAATTATTTTTCTTTTTCTTTTTTTTTGGTTCCCATGAACTGTACAACCGCCGCTGCCCCGGGGTCGACTGCCCTCACATCTACGCTAGTCTCAGATCACCTTCTCCGCATCGGTGACCACGGTGCCTGCTTCCAGCGTGCCGTTGAGTTCGCCGCCTACTGCTGCCTACGTCTGCGCAACCCACCTTCTCCCCGTCACTGACTGCGGTGCTTGCTTCCAGCTCACCGTTCAGTTCGCCGCTTCCTGCTGCAGACGTTGACACTCTAGCCGAGTCCGGTTCGGCCTCTCGCACAGCTGTTCCAGAGCGCTACGCTTGTCCCACTCTCTCCAGCGACCCTAGCATGATCCATCGTCATCTGTCGGGCCAATTGGTCGTCGACTGGGATCCTCTCCGCTGCCCACTTCATTCACTGCTCTTGCTCAAGGTATCTTGAGGAGTCTTCAAATTATGGACAATATTGGCTGTAGATCTACGTCAGGATTTGTTGTATTTCTTGGTCCTAATTTGGTTTCTTAGGAGTTCTACAAAACAACCTACTTGCTCATGGAGATCTTATTGTCAAATATGTGCTCTTAATCTTATGCTAGCGTTTGGAAAAGTTGTCTTCTCCAAAGTTGTAGATCTCTTTTTTGGCTAACTACTGGAATTTGAATTACATGTACTGAATTTGTAGTTTATGAGATATGACCAAAACGGTGAGCACGTGTCACTTTCCATCGCAACTGCAAATGTCTGACTTCTTTGAGCAATATGTCCATTCTACGATTGTTATTTGGTTATGTGTTCTTCATAAGAGTTGTAGAGCAAGAAAATGTCAATGTAATTCAACTGGTATCACAAACTTTGGGCAATCATGCGCCAAGTTATGATCAAAATACGAACATGTGTCTTTATGCATCGTCCATTTTCATCAAAAGTGGCCATATAGGCAACCCCTTCTTGGTTTTTGAGCTTCCTTGCATGATTTCTTCCTCTCTTGGACTCTTCTCATTGAAAAATTGGTCAACATATCTTGCAAACTTCCTTAGCAATTCATTTGTTGGCAAAAAATGCCACTTTTTTCACGCAATTGACCCGAAATTTCACCCAACATGTTATGAATGTGATTTTTACCTGATTTCATGAAACTTGAACCGAAATATATAAACATGCCTTGTTTTTATATTTTCAATCCATAAATCGCTTAAATTTGACAAGAAAAGTAATTACAAAAAATGGACTTATCAATCTCCTCACACTTAAGCGTTGCTTGTCCTCAAGCGACAAATCAGTTGCAAACACACTCAAAAAGGTAAAACTTGACTGTATTACAATCGAGTTGCTATTAAAGGAATAGAAACAAAACCCTCTTCTTTTATTTTTAATTTTTAAACATTTTATAAAAAATAACCCAAAATACAAGAATTTAAAATTATTATCACTTAAAAAAACTATTGATTATGTTAAACCACCAATCAACTCCTTATCCCAAGGTTTTCATTATTCTAATTTGGACATTCATTTTATTCATTAATTTTTTTGCCTTTTTTTTCACTCTTCTTGGCGGTGTTATCCAATGGTAAGTGCATACTTCATTCTCACAGACTATGATTAACGAATGAAACAGAGCCCCTTTTCAGAAATGGATTTGTCCTATAACAATGAGTTTTGAAGAGTTTTATTAATAGTAACATTTTTTTGATGAATAAAATGAACGTCCAATCAAAACAAATTAAGCCCTTTACATTCGCAACCAAAAAACCATAACAATTTCAAGTTTTCTAAAAATAATAATAAAAGTAAATTCTTATAATAAGAGTGATTCTCTAAGCTATTACGGGATTGATAACAAATTGAGAAATCAATGTTTCATATCAACAATAGTAAAAAGATTGTTCTAAAACAAGGTTTTAACTTTTGAGTGTAAAACGCAACCTCCTCACACTTGCGTTGGACCTCGTCCTCGTGGTCTCTTTTTAATGCACAATGTTTTGAAATAAAGGCACTTTTTTTGTTCTTTCCTCACACTTGAGTTTTGAAAAGATTTTGTGAAGAGGAATGATGAAAACAGGAAAGAAATTGTTTTAAAAATATCCTTACATCATCCATAGTCAGTTTTTTTGAAATCGGGTCAAAGCGTTTAACTCACAATTTATTTATTGAAGCACAACCTGCAATCACACAAAACAAACAAACAAAGTTATGAAAAACATGAGTTGCCTCCCAAGAAGTGCTTCTTTAACGTAACTAGTTTGACGTTTGAGAGAGAACTCTTTGTAATGCAAATCGGTTCTGGAGCACTCGTCATTAGTGCCTCCACCTTATCCTCCAGGTATGCAGTCAGATGGCGTAGACCTTCGAACTCTCGTGACCACCAAAATGTGACATAATCTTCAAAGAACACGTCGTTCGAACAAGGAATTAGCACATATCTTGCATCACTCTCATTAGTAGAATCAACTAGTATTTCAGGATCAGGTGCCTCTAGTTTCTCCAACCGCTCAAATGGAGCCATCAAGGTAAAAGTAACCTCACTAGAGATTTCATACTCCTCTTGATGGGTTTTCTCTTCTTCATCTATGCCCTCAACATGAAAATCACAAAGTTTAGACTCTGTGTCACTCTCTAAGAATGCATCCCAACTTCCTAACTCACTAACCCCACATATATCATCTAGGAAAATAGATCCTTGCCTAGCACAACTATGTTCGTCATCATTGAGTAGAGAGTCAAAGAAGGCGTCATCGGAGAATGTTTCCTCCAAATCACATGTGTCAATAACAACTTCAACAGGCATTTGGGCTTGTGTACGATCAACATCTTCATCAAGGCTATCTTTCAAGGACTCTTTAGGTGAGAGATCATCCATATATGGTAGGGTAGGGTCGGTATCACAAAGTATCTCCTCATCTATGGTCTCTTCATCAACCTCAGTGGGCACTTCCAGATTGAGTTCTTCAGGACTAATTTCTACGAGGACAGGCTCTAGCTCAGTAGCAATGAGAGGCTCAAAAGAAACAGGGGTGCAAAGAGTTTTAACCATCTCGTCCATAGTTATTGCAGCCTCCTCGGATGTAGTTCCTTCCTCGTATGCCTCCTCTTGAACTTCGTGTTCATTGTCATAGATGATTTCTTCAAACAACTTTATGAGACCCTCGTCAAGAGATGCTAGTTCAATCCTAGTTTTTTAAGTCTTCCACACAATCCAGTAAGGATGATTTTAACTCTTCGAGCTCGTGTTGAGGATAAGGTGAAATTCAGAGTCAACCTCGTAAGAGTACTCGTTTATGCCGGTGTAATGATTTTCTAGCCTTTCGTGGTAATTTTCATGATAATTAAAATCATCGTGATAATTACCTTGGTAGGAAAAATCATCATAGCCTTCAAAGTTTTGCCCTTGATAGATATAATTATCTTGAAAT